AGGGTCGCAGTCCACTCCAGGATCGCAATCCACCCCAGGGCCACAGTTCACTCCAGGGCACCTCAGAGGGAACCTCATTGTTTCTGGTTCTCTGAAGGTATTTCCAAGCCCGTCTGCCCTGTAGCCTCGCTGACCGTGCAGACACGTGGTCCTCAGGCCTGTTTCGGGTTTTCACTCTGGAGGCCCCGAGTTCAGCCACATGATGGCCGCTGCTGAGGAAAAACCAGATGCTGTGTCTGTGAGCAGGACGAAGAGGGCTTCCTCTGGAAGCTCTCCCAGGTGCTGACCACCACCAACACTGGACCAACGGAGCCAAGCCTGAGGGCTGATCCCAGGCCTGGAGGGAGCTTCTGCTCGGACCCTCAGTGCCGCCTGAGAACAGTAGCCTCCTGGTCACCCAGGCTGAAAGCTGGTACTGACCCCTCCCTGAGGTCTGGATCCAGCCATGTGTCCACAGTGCGCCCTGGCCAGCAAGGCTCTCCACATAATACCTGCCGTCTGTGACCCGCTGGCTGTGGTCGGAGGGGCCGTCTGTGGTCTGGAGGGAGCTGCGTTGCTCACCGGAAGGCCGGACCTCTCTGGCGGCGAGCCCCACCATGGTGGTCGCACGGAGGACAGGCCTTGGAAAGCCAATGGAGAGTGAGCTGAGTTGGTCCCAGCGGCTAGCAATGAGCTGCAGACCCTGACCATGAGGGTTACACTACGGTCACGCTGACACGACAACTGGCCTCATTTCCCCACGCTGGAGTCATTGTGAGAAATGAAAAGGATATACAAGTGTGGTCAGAGGGCATGTCGTCAGGTGGATGCCAAGGACAGTGCCACTCAGGGCAAGTCATCAGGTGGACACCAGCCTTGGAAAGACCTCATGACGGGAAAGGTGGAGGGTCAGAGAGAGAGGCAGATCCTCCCTGAGATGGACTGACAGGGACACAGTGGGCCGGAGGACAGCGGTCCCAGGCTCAGGGGACAGGCTCACTGCGAGTCAGTCACCTGGACGGCCCCTAACGGCGGTTAGAGATGGGAGGGCCCTCAGCACCACTCAGGAAAGCCAGCGGCCCAGTGCATCCTTTGACACCCCCCCCCAATAACCCCCCAGGTCCCTGTGCTGGAAGTCCCGAGCCCCCAGGGGAGCCTGATGACAAGATCTAGCCCAGGGCCACAGAGAAAGGCACCCGTGGGGCTGGTCCAGAACAAGGGAGGAGGTGCACAAGCTGAAGCCGTCCACTGGCCGTGTTGCAGCATCAGTGAACCAAGCTTGAGGGTGTAGCTTTAGGGGTGCAGGGAGTGAGGGGGTCGTGACTGGAGCACCCTCCTTCCTAAATACTGCCCAGCGTCCACTGCTGGCCGGATGAGCTCAGGGAAGCCCCCGTGAGCACGAACCGTGACTGCCTTTAGCGGCTCAGGCAGGCCTGTCCCTGTGAATGCGCTCTTTCGGGATGAGTTCCGACTACCGTGGGAGGCTCCGGCTGTCGTTACCCCTCACACACGGCTACCTTCCTGTCACGTCCCAGGAGCTGTGTTAATGGGAAGTGACGCTCCCCTTCCTCCCAAGGGACGGCTGGTGGATTTGAACTGCAGGAGACGCACAGCCCGTGGTCAGCAGCTCGCGTGCTGTTGACAGATTTACAACACTTGGCGAAACCTGATCTGGATATGTCGACTGTGTGTATTAAACTCTTCCAAGCTGTCTCCGCTGCTGGTTTCCTCCCACACCATTTGGTCACAGAACGCACGGTGCTGTGGTCTATCCTGTGAGAAACACTGACACTCCTTGTGGGTCCCGGTCATGCGGTCCATTTCTAGGATGTTCCGTGTGCATTAGGAAGATGCTTTCTCTAATGGGGGTGCACAGAGTTAAGTGGATAAGCTTCTACGGCCTGGCTAATTCTATGTGCCCCATTGGTCAGTTACTGCTCAGCGCAGGTTCCAGCCAAGGACCGAAGCTTCTAGGAGGAGCTCCAACAAGAGCAAATGACAAGCCCGCAGAGAGAGGACAGGCCGGCCGAGGAAGAGCGGGAACGAGGAGGAGCCGGAAGAGGACGCTGCACCAACCCCACAGCCGGCTCTCAGTGGAGAGGCCGATCTAACAAGCCTTGGCTAGACTAGTGAGAAGGTGGGCACTTCAGTCCTGGGCCTCGGGAGCAGACAGGCCGTCACCGCGGGCCCCACACACACGGAGATGGCACGGATGTCACACAAAAGCCTTTTGTCTTGACAACTCAAAAATACAACAGAGGAAACCTAGAACCTTCCTATCTAGTTCTTAGGAACTCCAGGCCTCAGGGCCTCTGTTCCAGCAGAGCAGGGAAGGGCCAGCGTGTCTGGTGGACACTTGCACCCTGATGCCTGTCGGGCGCTCACACCCCGACGCATGTGTGCTTCACCCCAATGTGTCGGGCGCTCACACCCCGATGCGTGTGTACTTCACTCCAGTGCCTGTCAGGTGCTCACACCCCGATGAGTGTGTGCTTCACCCTGGTGTCGGATACACACCCCGATGCGTGTGCACTTCACTCCAGTGCCTGTCGGGCACTCACACCCCGATGCATGTGTGCTTCACCCCAATGTGTCGGGCGCTCACACCCCGATGAGTGTGTGCTTCACCCTGGTGTCGGATACACACCCCGATGCGTGTGTACTTCACTCCAGTGCCTGTCGGGCGCTCACACCCCGATGAGTGTGTGCTTCACCCCGATGTGTTGGGCGCTCACACCCCGATGCGTGCGTGCTCCGACGGCCCCGGGACCTCTCTGCTTTTTCCCGCCATAGAAGAGGTGGCATTGGTCTCAGTAAAGCCACATGGGTGGCCCACAACTCCCTGGTGTCCTGCCTCTGATGGAGAACTGCGGCCAGTGCAGTGCTGACCGTATCTGTGCACCCCGCCTTGGACCATTGGGTGGGCCCCAAGAACACACCTGTGGCCAGGAGGTCAGCTCTGAGCCCAGTGGATGTCTGGGCTCCAGGTGTGACATCTCTGAGCAGGAGACTGCCCTCGGCTGGCCTCTGTGGGTCAGGAGTGCTGTGACCCACTGAGAAGTGCGAAGATGGACGCTCCACCGGCCAGCATGTGGAGGACACTACCCAGAGGCCTGATAAAGGTTCCTGTGACCCAGGGCGAGGCAGAAAGCCCATCTGCACACGGAGACCCCAAGGGGGCAAGGCTGTGGCATGGGGGGCACCTGCACAGGACATAAGATGCCAGGTGGACCCACTGTCAGTCTGTCAGTCCCAGGGACACAGGCTCCATCCACCCCGTCCTGGGCTGCATGTGAAAACACGGTGAAAGCAGACAGCAGGCACGCACAGGTCTGGCTGGCAGCTGGCACAGACAGCAGGTGTATTTCTCGAGCTCCGTAAATGTACACACACCTGGTGGCAGTTAGAACACCCGTCATCAGGAGCGGCGCGGACCCTTTTCCAGGGAGGAGCCCGCCTGTCTCACTCCCCGGGAGAGAAGTCCATGTCACCGGTGCTGGGCACACGTACTGACCCACAGTTCAGCCTTGGCCGCTCACGCTGTCCCACCCCGCCTGGTCCATCTTCCTGCTCCTAAGTCACCAGGACACATCTTCCTTGGCCGGTGGAGGAGACCCAGCACCCTGTCTAGATGCTGGCCACTCACGCTGTCCCCACACCGGGCACTCACGCCGTCCCTCCCTGGTCCACTCAGCTGCAGCTCTCCCCCCCACGCTGGGGTCAGGCACTCAGAGCTCATTGTGTTGACCTCTCGAAACCCGGCTGGTCAGGTCCTGCAGGTGCTTCTTCACCTGGAAGGGAGGGGGGTCAGTGAGACAGGAGCTCAGTGCACGGTGACCGTCAGGGCAGACCTGCAGAGAAGGGGGGAGAGAGGGGCCACACCACTCTGGAGATCTGGCCTGGGCAGCCTGGGTGCTGGCTCCCTGGGGGAGGGACAGCAACCCAAGACCTTCCAGCTTCTGCCTGGGGACCCCAGAGAGGCCGCATCCCTGCATGCAGAGTGAGGTGGTGGCCTTCTAAATTCTCACATCATCTAGGTCCCCAGTGGTGGGGCCACTCGGTGGCCTACAACTGTTATCTCGCCGGTCACAGCTCTCCCTGCAGTTCCACTGCCCATGGACATGTGGCTCTCAGCCTGCAATGCCCCTGCCCTACCCCGTCCCTCCATGGAGCTCCTGTCCCGTCTGCAGCCGCTCTGTGGACAGGTCAGTCACGGCAGCCCTGAGGTGCAGCCCTCACCTATTAACTGAAAGGATGGGGTTCCACCTGGGAGCCCAGGCCGTCTGCTCCTGTGTGGTCCCTGCCCCAGGACCACGTGTGACCGGGGCCTCCTGCTCCTGTGTGGTCCCTGCCCCAGGACCACGTGTGACCGGGGCCTTCTGCTCTGCTCCCCCGCAGTCCCTGCCCTGAGGACCACGTGTGACCCAGGTCGTCTGCACCCCCCGTGGTCCCTGCCCCAGGCCCGGGGGGCACTTCCACACTGTCCTCCGGGGCTGCCGATGTGAAATCCACTCAGCACAGAGGGCTTGTTCTCTAAGCACAGTTCACACTTCAGTGGCTATGAGAATCGCCCGGCCCACACACTGACACTCCCAGAAACACCTCTCGGGGGGCTTCCCGAGTCCTCCTTGGTGGTGGGTCAGGGCTCAGAGGGGTTGTTCACACGGTCGCACTCGACGGCACCCACTAACAGCACCTGGTGGTACACAAGCGACCCGGACCAGCCAGAGGACACACCGGCTGTTCACCTCACCGCGGATCAGGGACACGGCCAGAGCCAGCGACAGGGAGCTCAGGGGATCGCTGTGCCCCAGACCCGACCCGCTCTGTCCGGGGCCTCACACTCCCGCCGTGGACTGGGGCGCCCACCTTGTAGCCCAGCTCCTTGGCCTTCTCCTCCAGCATCGCGTACTTCTCACGGCTGCGGCTCATGTGCTCAGGGTCCCCGGCGCTCTCCACGTGCCGCAGCTTCTGGTGCGACAGCTCCAGCTGCTTCTGGTAGTGCTGGTGCTTCTCCACCTTGGCCTCGAAGTGCTTCAGCTCCTCCTGCAAGCCCGCAGGTCACTGCCCGCCCGTCCCCAAGGAGTGCCAGAGGGCCCAGGGACAGCCCACCCCCTGGCCCGAGTGCAGGCTCAGCTCTCAGACACTCACACCCTGTTCTCAGCAAGGTGGGACCCACATAACCGAGGGCAGGCTTCCATGTGTGCCCACCCCCCAGAGGGCAGGCTTCTGTTCCACTGTGGACATCACGCCTCCACAGGCACTTGGGGACACGCAGGGAAAGGGTCCACAGCTGACAGGCCTGAGAGCGCGAGGGACGCCAGGGCCTCCTTACCCGGAATGACTCCAGCTCCTTCTTGGTGAAGTTGGAGGACTTGGCCATGTCCCACAGGTCCATCACTCGGGGCTCCTCGAACTCTGAGGACAGCCAGGCTGGGGTGACCCTGATGGCCAGGAGCCCCATGGCCTGCCTAGTCCCACCCTGCCTCGATTGTCAGATCGTGTGTGTGAACACGTGTGCACCTCAGGACCCACGCTCCCGCCCAGCTCAGTCCATGAGATAGAGCACGTGTGTGTGTGTGTGTGTGAGAGAACACGTGTGCACCTCTCAGGACCCACGCTCCCGCCCGGCTCAGACCCTGTGACAGAGCACGTGTGTGTGTGTGTGTGTGTGTGTGTGAGAACACGTGTGCACCTCTCAGGACCCACGCTCCCGCCCGGCTCAGACCCTGTGACAGAGCACGTGTGTGTGTGTGTGTGAACACGTGTGCACTTGCTGTGTGTGCTTTGCATACCTGAAGCACAGGACAACCTGCTCTCGAGCGCACGTGTGGTAATGTCTCGGGGCCTGAAAACTGGGCCCCAGGATGTGGTCACCCACTCTCCGGGCCAGGAGAAGGGCTCTCCAGCAGGAAGACTGTGCTAGGGCAGGACTGAGCCCACCTGGGCAAGGAGGACCTCGCTGAGGTGGAGGTGGGAGGACTTCCCTCAGGTGGGAAGGAGTTCCACAGTTACCCACATTGCCCGAGTCAGGTGTGAACCACCTCTCCTTCCTCATCCAATCAGAGAAGAGCGAGATGACCACCCCACCTCATGGTGCCCAAGGCCCAGCAAAGTCTCCCTGCCACCCACACAGGACTCAACAAGTGTCCCAGGGATCACGAGGCTTTTGGGGGGGGGCTTCTGAGGCCAGCCTCAGTCCACTTGGCACTCGTGCTGGACAGCCCTTCCCTGACACCATGGACACGAGGGACCAGCTCTCCTAAGCCTCGACTCACCTGCCCACCTCCCAACATGAGCTGAGGCCAACCCCTGGGGCCCGTCCACACATGCCAGCATGGGGGCACACTTAGGAGGACAAACAAACATGTACACTTGTGATCACAAACACACACAGACACACACACACACTCACTACAGGATACAGGCTTGTGCACTGGTACCAGGTGACCCAACACAGAACACCCCCCCCACCTGTGACATACACACTCATGCACGGGCACATGGGTGTGAACCACCACAGGACACACATATATACTCGTTTACACACATACAGATACATCATTATACACACGGGCACCTAGGTGTGACCTACAACAGGACATGCTCACACTCACACACACACACACACAGGAGTGACATTATAGGGCACACGCACAGGCACCGGGTGTGTGACTCACAGGACACCTGTGTGCACGCATCCACACACGCACCTGGCGTGCAACCCACAGCACACCACGCATGCGCG